GCTGGCTCAGCCCGACTCTTCAACCCCTCCAGGGATCCCGGGGACTCCCCCCTGCCCTGGGCAGCCCATTCCAACGCCCAACAGCCCCTTCTGCACAGAAATCCTTCCTCAGAGCCAGCCTGACCCTGCCCTGGGCAGCTTGAGGCCATTCCCTCGGGGCCTGGCGCTGGGGCCTTGGCTCCAGAGACTCATCCCCCCTCTCTGCCCCCTCCTGGCAGGGAGTTGCCGAGGGCCAGGAGGTCTCCCCTCAGCCTCCTCTTCTCCAGACTGAACCCCCCCAGTTCCCCCAGCTGCTCCCCAGCAGACCTGTGCTCCAGACCCTGCCCCAGCTCCGTTGCCCTTCTCTGGCCACGCTCGAGTCATTCAATGGCCTTTTTGGGGTGAGGGGCCCAGAACTGAACCCAGGAATCGAGGGGCGGCCTCCCCAGTGCCGAGCCCAGGGCTCAGATCCCTTCCCTGTCCCTGCTGGCCACGCCAGGGCTGACACAAGCCAGGATGCCATTGACCTCCTTGGCCCCCTGGGCACAGTCTGGCTCATTCTCAGGCCCCCCAGTCCCTCTCTGACTGGCAGAGTGGAGTGTCCTCAGTATATTAATTGTGGTTTGATTAATACTTATGATTAGTGTTCCTGGTCAAGTCCTGCCAGGTGCTGAATGCGTTCAGCTCCTGTATTTGGGTCCTGACAAGAATCGTCATCTGATGGTTCGTGTCAGGACTGTGCTGCAGAGGAGCCCCCCCGTCCCTGCCTTGGAGGTCACCAGAGGGGTGAATTCCACTGTGGGGGAGATGGGAAGGAAAAGCCCATTCCTCCTCGCCACCACCGAGCTCCTCTCGAGCAAACTGTGTGTCTGTGCTGTCCGTGCAGCGCAGCGGGCGCGCGGCGGAGATGAGATCCCCAGGCTGAATAAGAGCATCACAGGCTTAAACGCACGCAGGGATTTCCTGTGTGGGGCTGGAAGAACAAAAGCTAAGCTTAAACCACCTGCTGCCTCTGGTTTTGCTTGAGGAGGAATCTGACAAGGAGTTTTAAGGACGTGGTGTTTCACTTTAGCCCAAATAACCCGGTCACCCTGCGTAGGGGATCCCTTGTTAAATGCAGAGGGCACCTGCTCTTGGCACATGCAAACGCAGTGCAGTTCTTGAACCTCTGGAGGAAGCAGCACTCTGGGCCTTATTTTCATCCTTTTTTTTTTTCTAAAACCTTTGAAAGCGATGGTTGCTCTTGATAAAGACAAATAAAAGTATACTTTGAGCAGAGCAGGCTTCACACTAGTTTTGCCTTTGTTATCACAGACACAACTCAGATTTGGGCCCCCACCTCAGTGAATGGCAACTTATACCCGTCCCTGCTCCTTATGTCAGCATTCTAAACCATCCCATCATGCAGAGTCCACCTCAGTTTCCCTTGATGTTTCAATTCCCTATTATTTCAGTGATGAAAAATGCCCAGTAATTTCCATCAGTCAGCGAGTCCGTTCTTGTCTTTGGCTCTGCTCCTGTTCACATTGTTGGTCTGCTTCAGGGCCAGCAAGTCATCCAGCTTCAAACAACTTTTTTCATGTGTCTTCCACAACCTTTCCTCAATGTTCCGCCTAACATTTGTCATTTCTGAGAAGTTAATGGTATAACTTTTAAGAACATTAAAACTAGACGCTGTCATCATCACCCATTTCTTACCTCATGTCTTTATCAGTTAAAATATTAAAACCAGCTGAAACATACCTAAACTAAAGGTTTCAATTCGTCTGTCTTTATCCATGGATTAACTAGGCTGGGTTTTTGGCCAGGCAAGGTGAGAGCTGTACGTGGGATTAATGAGCGTGGTTATATGATTCCAGATTATTTGAACACCTGCAGCCTTGCAATAGTTTATTAATTTTAGTCTCTTATTCAGAATCACAGTGACCATTGATTTTGTATTTCTATGATCTCATTTATTTATAAGTGATCATTAAAAGAAAAAAGAGGTTTTCATTTGTTTCTTAGCACCTCTAATACCACTTCTGGTAGGGTTGCCTTCCGTTCATTGCGTATTAATCGCTCTGCTTAATGAACAGAGGGGCCTCACTGGCTGACTGTGCAGGGCTTACCCGACTTCTGCCCTTTATATAACTGCCCCGGGAGAGGTGTTTACCCGTGCTGCCTTCCTTTTTCTGTTCTGTAGCTCCCAGCTGTGGCAGAGTTCTCCACCAGCGAGACCATGGGCCACTCGGCCGATCGTTTGGCTGCTGCCTTTGCCGTTTCCCGCCTGGAGCAAGATGAGTACGCCCTCCGTTCGCACACGCTCGCGAAGAAAGCCCAGGATGAAGGCTTGCTGCTGGATGTGGTACCCTTCAAAGTGCCAGGTAAAAGTGCAAAATGAAACATTGCTTTGGAAAAGGAGGGGAGGTGCCGGCGTCAGATTCTTAATGTTCTGTGTATCTGATGTGGATTTTCACTCTGAAATGCCCTGTTTCTCCATGGAAAAGTACTGCCATAGGAGCATGTTTCAAAACGTGCATATTTAAATAGATAAACATACCCTTTCTTACCAAAATCTTGTTATAGCCACCTCACATCCCTGCTAATGTGGTGATAGAGTGTTAAAGAATTCTGCCAGACTGGGGGTGTCTCTGGGTTTGCTTTATTAACAACTTGGAGTTGGGCCAACACCCCAGTGAAAGGCAAATGTCCGAAGGCCTCGTGCAGTTTATACGCTATTTCCAAATCTGTTACCTAAGTCTAAAGTCTTTTTAAGTTTCCACACAACCTTTTAGTTCTTCATTCTCATCATTATTATAGTTCTCTACAATTCCCTGTCTCAGCGGAATTCTTCTCTTCTGGTTCCAATCCTTGTTTCAGTCTCAGAGTCATCTTTTGGGTCATCATCTTCATCTTCCTTCCGCTAATTTTCATCTTGCACAATTCTGAGAAAGACTTCAGCATGTTCTATTAAAAGCTTAGGTAGAGCGAGCAGTTTCTATATACCAAATTCTCTTAATCTAGCAAAACACCTCTGTTTAATTAATCATCTTTTGTTAAAACTGTCTCTCTAGGATTAGCTTGACAGGGTTTTAAACCAGCCTTGGGCTGGGACTATACAACCATAAGGACACTTTCCAGGGCTGTTGGGCAGCGAGTTCTGGTTGCCTTGGGAATATTACAAGATCGCTCAGTCCCGAACACATTTCACCAGGCCGTAAAATCTATTTCAAATATACCAGAGGTTGTATTTAAAATTCTTCTACACAGAGCAAGGAACATCAGGACTGTTGGACCAAGAATCCCCCTGTTCTTTCAGTCAGGCCAGAGAACCCATCTTTATACCCCAAGCTATTCACAACAAATAGAAAACCTGATAAAATCCCGTTCTGGTAAATCAGGTGCTGGGCAGGAAGAGCTGAGATGCGTTCTGCTCGGTGGGCGGCGGTTCCCTGGGCCTCCCAGTCATGGCTCAGATAGGAAACAGTTTGGGGAGAAGCTTTAACCGTTTGGGGAGAAGCTTTACTCCATCATTAGTTCCCCAGAGAGCCCTTTTGTAGGTTCACAGTTACATACAGTCTTTATACTAACATTGGTGCTCTCTGTTAGCTGTTGAAGCAGTGCGTATAGTTGAAGGTGGCTATGTTTGTTTTTTTCCCAGTGTTCTTACTTCCTCAAAACTCAGCACACAGGCATATACTGATTTAGGCCCAGTCCTCCAGTTTTTTAATCTGAATTTAAATTCATTTATCACCGGGGTTTTCCTTGTGGCAATTTTTTTTCTTACAGTAAATAGATTGCAGCGCTTCATTTTCGAAGTCTTTGGAGAGAAAGTAATGTAGCTTTAATTTTTAAGTGCTTTCTTTTTTAGCTGTGTTAAATATCTTGATACCATGAACAGATTTTCCCTTTTTTTTCCTCCTCCCACTTATCATAAAAAGCAGAGGTTACTGATTTTTTTTTTTTCCCTGGACTCCTGGTGTGCTGACAACATTTATGTTGCTGACTTTCAGAGTTTAAATATGCTTTTTTCATCAACAGGCAAAGACACAGTTACCAAAGACAACGGGATCCGTCCTTCCTCCATGGAGCAGATGGGCAAGCTGAAGCCAGCTTTTGTCAAGCCCTACGGAACCGTCACAGCTGCCAACTCCTCCTTCCTGGTAATGTGTGTTCCCACCACTGAGCCAGCGGGGAAAACCTCCCAGTTTACCAAAACCTCCCAGTTTACCCTCTGCCTCCTGCAGGCGCATAGATCAAGCTGTATAATCTGTGGGAACCAGTTGTAATATCCCCCGCTTTAGGATTTTTCAAGCGTGACGTGGGCACTGGGTTGTTTCATTTTAAAATTACTAAACCCCTGAAGTTTAGGTCTGTCTTACCCGTTTGCTTCTCTGTAGCTGCCTCATGAGGGTTGTTCATTCAAAGGCATGTCTAGAAATTCTGTCCCAGGATGGGGTTGATCACATTGTAAGTCTAGAAGTTAGTAGTTTTAGTCTAAACTTGCCACTTTAAGGCTTGCCCTGTAATCCACAGAGATTTCTCAAGCATGTCTACGATGAGCTCTCTTCTGCACTTGCTCCTTTTTCCTCTCTTTAGCGCTTTTAATGGAAGCTTTTTCAGATGCTGAGGTCTCAGGTTGTTTTGTAAATTAGGTGAGGAGTATCTGAGTGAAGTTGGAGATAGGGAGGCTCTGCAGAGAGACTTGGATAGACTGGATCGGTGGCCAACGTTAACGGGATGGGCTTCAACCAGGGCAAGTGCCAGGTCCTGCCCTTGGGCCACAACCACCCCCTGCATGGCTACAGGCTTGGGGAGGGGTGGCTGGAGCTGTCTGGGAGAGAAGGGTCTGGGGGTTCTCACTGACCAGCAGCTGGACAGGAGCCAGCAGTGAGCCCGGGTGGGCAAGAAAGCCAACGGCCTCCTGGCTTGGATTGGAACTAGTGTGAGCAGCAGGAGCAGGGAGGTGACAGTCCCCTGTGCTCGGCACTGGTGAGGCCACACCTGGAGGGTTGTGTCCAGGTCTGGGCACCTCAATCCCAGAGAGATCTGGAGGGGCTGGAGCGAGGGCAGAGGAGGGCAGCGAGGCTGGGGAAGGGCTGGAGAATCAATGCTGTGAGGAGCCAGGGAAGGAGCTGGGAGTGTTCAGTGTGAGGAGGAGGAGGCTGAGGGGAGCCCTCATCCCTCTCTGCAGCTCCTGACAGGACATTGCAGAGAGGCTGGGGCTGGGCTCTGCTCCCAGGGGATCAGGGACAGGACAAGAGGGAACGGCTGGAAACTGCCCCAGGGGAGGGTCAGGCTGGGCAGGAGGAGAAAATGTTTCCCAGCAAGAGTGGTGCGAGAGTGGAACAGGCTGCCCAGGGAGGGGGGAGTCCCCATCCCTGGGGGGGTTTCAGGGCCGTTGGGATGAGCTGTGGGGGATGTGGGGTAGGGGAGAACTTGGTAGAATCAGGCTGAGGGTTGGACTCGCTGATCCCGAGGGGCTTTTCCAGCCTGAGTGACTCTGGATCCTGTGATGCTGCTGACAGTCTCCTGCAGAGGGCTCGAGGTGACTCTCTGCTTCCTACACTCAGCCCCAGCAGATTCTTGTGTTTTTTAAGACTGTTTCACAGTTTGTGAGGAGCACTTCCACGGAAACAAGTAACCACTGCTAGGGCTCTTGCAGCAGCAATGACTGCCTGGCATTCCTGGGGACTTAGAAAAGCCCGGTAATGCCTCAGCCTTAGCGTCAGGAGCAGCTGAACTGCTGGTGTGCTCTGTGCCGCGGGTCTGTAGGCCAGCTTAGGCTGTTACCCCAGAAATGAGCAGTCCCGTGCCAGGGCCCCACTGTTTGTTTTTGCAACGTGGTGAGCTTGGGGCTTGGGGTGTTCCAGAGTTACACCCCGGTTTTGGGATGGAGCTGAGTGGACTCACAGGTGAGGGTCTGAGTAACCAGCTTGTCCTGGGGACTGGCAGGGCTTTTGACACCAGGGGGAGTGGTGGAGCTGGGCTCTAAGGAAGGGCTTCAGCAGTGTGTGTGCCAGCATTATCTGCCCTCGCCCTCGCCCTGTGTCTCTCTCCCAGGGGGATGTCCTGGAAGCACTGCCTGTCCTGGGCTCTCCCTTGCAGGCTGCTGTGCCGCAGGGCTGTCGGGCTCTCGTGCTCGGGGTCTGCTTGTCCTCGGGCAGCGAGTGGCCTCACGGGCTTTGTCTGCCTGTTTCAGACTGACGGTGCGTCGGCAGTCCTGCTCATGTCCGAGGAGAAGGCTCTGGCAATGGGGTACAAACCAAAGGCCTACCTGAGGTAAAAAGAGACCCTTGGACGTGCCTTCTGACGTCTGCTCTCGCTTCCTTCTCCTCTGGCTGTTACTAACAGCATTTCCCCTGTGCAGGGACTTCGTGTATGTGTCCCAGGATCCGAAGGACCAGCTGCTACTGGGGTAGGTGCGATGGTGGAGAGCATCCCCTGACAGTCCATCCTGGCACGGCAGCCTTGTCTTGCCATGGCATGTTTGTTTTTATGTGAAGGATCTCGTGAGATAATAGATCTTTTCACGCCTCCTCGTAAAGGGGCGAGGGCCGAGGTGTGACTCAGGAGCGGGAGGTGGCTCACGGGGGAGAGCAGCTGTGTCAGAAATACCCTGATTTGCTGGGGGGCATCTCGGCGTGTTGGTACGTGGGGCTGTGTTTCAGCTGGAGCGGGACAGGCAGAGAGCTGTACCATGAACCCCAGAGAGCAGGAACGTGACGTGGGTCGCTGTGAAAAAGGGGGATGATGACGGGAGGAAATATATTCATGCAAGGCTTCTGTTTCTTGACTCTTCTTCAGTCCAACGTACGCTACTCCCAAAGTGCTGGAGAAGGCTGGTCTCACCATGGCTGATATCGACGTGTTTGAATTCCACGAAGCTTTTGCTGTGAGTACCCAGAAGGCTGAGGATTCCTCTCACTGTAAAACGCCGCTCTGTAGGCGTCTGTTTTCACACTGGTGAAAGCTCTTGTGAAGGCCTTTAGTAGATGTAGATAGGTGTAATTCTACTTTCATGTCTATATATAAAGTGCTGTATCTATTTTAACCATAAGAGCGGTTTCACATTGACACAGTCCATGCTGAGTGGTTTATGTTGCTTGAAGTCACCACAGAAATTTTTCTAAAACAATATGTAAAAAAAAATAAATCTTTCTTTCCCAAAATCCCTGTATATGAAAGAAACCAGTTCTTTACATCCTCTGCTAATTGGGTTGGAAATATGTGTTACTCTGATGAGGTGGCTTGTTAATTGGACAGTGTCATTTTCTAGCTAAGGTTGGGCTAACAGTGATTAACAGGCCTGATCCTGTAAAAATGCTTTTTTTTTCAGTTGGCTCTCTTAGTTTTGTGGCTGTAGGGAGTCTCGGGGTGTCCCCTGTTTGCTAATGCTGCCCTTGGGCTTTCCTTAGAGTTTGCCGTTTCCTCGATAACGTCGCCCTTGCCTCCATTTCAGGGGCAGATACTGGCCAACCTGAAAGCTATGGATTCGGACTGGTTTGCCCAAAACTACATGGGCAGAAAGTCAAAGGTAAGATACAGTCAGGAGGCTTTTATCTCTAGTTTAACTTCAGGATTCACTGAATTCCTCGCTGGGGTGGGATACGCTAGCACTTGTGTTACTTTCTGTGAGGAGAAACGATGTTCCTGGAGCTCTGGGTTAGCAAATCCCAGTGGGACCAACTTTGGGAACTGGCAGTTCCTGTCGTCAGCGGGAGGTGGAGATCTGGAGCCAGAATGGTGATTTGTTGGAGAGGAGGGAATTCGAAACGAACGGTGGGTTAGCTCAGTCCTGCCTGTCTCTAAGAGCACGGGGTGTACTGGCCTGGCTGGGGGTGACACAGCAAAGCCTTGAGCACAGTTCTGTTCCTGTTGTCGGGCACTTTTACGTGCCGGAGAGGATTTTATGTGGCCAGCCCGGAGCGCTGTAGCCTCGGTGGTGTGAGTAGACCAAGCAGTCTCCTTCCAGGCTGGTGACTGCGTGTCCCTTGGTGTGTTCCTGCAGGTCGGAGCCCCTCCTCTGGAGAAGTTCAATACCTGGGGGGGCTCCCTCTCGCTGGGACACCCTTTCGCCGCCACTGGCTGCCGCCTGGTCATGACTGCGGCCCACAGGTTGAAGAAGGAGGGAGGGCAGTATGGCCTGGTGGCTGCCTGCGCCGCAGGGGGGCAGGTAAGGGTCTGGCACTGCTCCCTCGGGAGAGGGGCAGCCATTTCACAGAATCCCAGAACCATCTGGGTCGCAAAATCCCTTGCAGCTCCTCCAGCCCCACCATGACCCTCCCCCTGACCGTTCCCAACTCCCCCAGATCCCTCAGCGCTGGCTCAGCCCGACTCTTCAACCCCTCCAGGGATCCCGGGGACTCCCCCCTGCCCTGGGCAGCCCATTCCAACGCCCAACAGCCCCTTCTGCACAGAAATCCTTCCTCAGAGCCAGCCTGACCCTGCCCTGGGCAGCTTGAGGCCATTCCCTCGGGGCCTGGCGCTGGGGCCTTGGCTCCAGAGACTCATCCCCCCTCTCTGCCCCCTCCTGGCAGGGAGTTGCCGAGGGCCAGGAGGTCTCCCCTCAGCCTCCTCT